CCTCAATTTTCTATTATCACTTTCAGTTTAACTTACCCAAAACTGAATTTGCCTTCTTCTACTATCACCTCCTTTTCTTGATCTTAATAGTTTAGTAACCTTACGGCCGGGTGCGGTGGCTCACACCTGTAGTCCCAGCACTTTGGGAGGCCAAGGCTGGCAGATCACGAGGTCAGGAGATCGAGACCATCCTTGCCAATATGATGAACCCTCATCTCTACTAAAAATAAAAAAAAATAGCTGGGTGTGGTTCATGCCTGTAATCCCAGCCACTCGGGAGGCTGAGGCCGGAGAATTGCTTGAACTTGGGAGGTGGAGGTTGCAGTGAGCCGAGATCACGCCAATGCACTCCAGCCTGGCGACAGAGCGAGACTCCTTCTCAAAAAAAAAATAAAAATAAAATAATAAAATAATAATAGTTTAGTAACCCAACCGTCTTCTTAGCCAGTCATACTCAAAGCTGTAGGGTTATGGTTGCCTCTTGACTACTCCTCTCCCTCTAAATTATCTCCAACTAAGAATATGACAATAGACTCCTAATTGAATACTTATACTCCTTTAGATTAAATGTTCTAATGCATAACTTTGATTGTGTCCCTCCACTGCTTAAAAACCTTCAATAAATCCCCATTGCTTAAAGAATTATAAGTTAACACCTTAGTCTCTCATTCAAGCACTCCATGATATGAAGCCAACCTAATTTTCCAGAATTACCTCTATACTTCTATACTGTATATATCCCTATTTTCTTACTGTACTGTTTGCCATTGTTGAAAAATGCTTTGAACTTTCTTGCCTCTGTTTTTCGTAATGACATTTCTTTTGACTAAAATGCCCACTATCCCCAACTCCAGCTCTCACTGTTGGAATCCCAACTCATCCTTCAGTCTTTTCCTCCAGGATTATTTTTCTGATATATCTGATAATGCATGCTAGTCCCATCCTCTGAAGTCACAAAGTATGTTATTAACACCTCTTGTATGATACTTACTATCTTCTGCCTTATTCTGTATTCTTTCTGTGCTTCTTATGGTTCCTATAATACACAGGGTCTTATAATTAAAGGAAATCTTATCTTAATTATTTCTACATCTTCCTTCATCATGTATAGCATAGTACCTTTTACACAGCAGATGTACAATAAATGAATATTTAGGGGCTCATTTCCTAATCTCTGATTTTGACATCAGCAAATCATGTGATCTGGGTTAATATTCAGCTAGTATGCACCAGTACAACCAGTGTCACTATTTATCACCTGTGTACATTTCAACTATTTGGGGGCTGTGATACACCAGTTAATATTTTTTTTTTTCTTTTTTTTGAGTCAGGGTCTGGCTCTGTCATCCAGGCTGGAATGCAGTGGCATGATCTCTACTCACTGCAACGTCTGCTTACCAGGCTCAAGCAATCCTCCCACTCAGCCTCCTGAGTAGCTAGGACTACACATGATCCTCTCACCTCGGCCTCCCAAAGTGCTGGGATTATAGGTGTGAGCCACCATGCCCAGCCTTTCTGTTTGTTTCTTACTTAAAAAAAAAATTTCAATTATCATTACCGATATGATAGTCTGCCTTGAAATGTCTTTTGGTACTTAACTGAAACAGCACATTCTGCTGAATGGGCTGGAGGCAATATTTGGAAGCTCCTTCTGAGTTACTAAACATGGTAGGTCTTGGGTAGGGGGCACAGGCTCAGAGTAGGCGATTTATAATTTAGGCAACTAATCATACCACTTATTAACGTTTTGATTTTCTAATGAAGAATACAGACTATCACCTTATTTTGTTTACATATAAAATAAAAACATTACAATTAGATGGCTGGGCACGGTGGCTCACACCTGTACTCCCAGCACTTTGGGAGGCCCGGGTGGGCAAATCACCTGAGGTCAGGAGTTTGAGACCAGCCTAGGCAATAGGGCGAAACCCCATCTCTACTAAAAATACAACAATTTGGCTGGGCATGGGTGGCTCACACATGTAATCCCAGCACTTTGGGAGGCCGAGGTGGGTAGATCACGAGTCAGGAGTTTGAGGCCAGCTGGGCCAACCTGGCGAAACACCATCTCTACTAAAAATACAAAAACTAGTTAGGCGTGGTGGCAGGCATCTGTAGTCCCAGCTACTCGGGAGGCTGAGGCAGCAGAATCACTTGAACCCAGGAGGTGGAGGCTGCAGTGGGCCGAGATCAGGCCACTGCACTGCAGCCTGGGTGACAGAGAGAGACTCTGTCTCAAAATATAAACATGAAAAAAAAAGAAGAAGAAGAAAATAAAAATACAACAATTAGCTGGGCATGGTGGTACGTTCCTGTATAACCAGATACTGGGGAGGCTGAGGCACGAGAATCTCTTGAACCCGGGAGGTGGAGGTTGCAGTGGGCCGAGATCGTGCCACTGTACTCCAGCCTGGGCAACAGGGCAAGACTCCATCTCAAAAAATAATAATAAATAAAAAGATTACAATTAGAAACACAATGGTAGAGCTCTGTATTTTACATAACAGTAATTCCCATCTATAAGCGATGGTAATGAAAATGGCAAGCAGAGCAGTAAGAACATCTTTGCTGATTGTGGTTGACTCTGATTTTAGAGTTTTTTTGGATTTTCCTTTTATTTTACTTTACTTGGGGGAAAATAGCCTTCTTTATAATTTGGCTTTTCTGCTTTTATCTCATCATGCTGAAGTGGAGGTTGTTGGAACAGATCAAGGATGTCAGTGTTGAACAGGGAAAGTGTAACAATACGAAGTCAATGGGATCTTGGAAAGGAAACAAATCAGGTGCCCAAGAAAGTAAAAATAACAGGGGACTAGCAGGAAAAGATGATCTAGCTAGGAAGGGCTGAGGCAAGGAGGAAATCTGTAAAGTCCCTGGTTCCGCTTCTTCTAGAAAGAGGCAGACAGAGTTTTTTGGCAGACTTGTAAACTCTGTGCCTTCTGTCCCCCCTCCCTCACTTCCAGCTTTTCTACTGATAACCAAGGTGCTTTCCCAACCACTGCCACTGCCTGCCTTGGAGTTTCGTTTTACCTCTGGACATTTGCTTTGGCTGCTGCCACTTGGAACAACTGCCACAGCTAAATCGAGTGATATTTTTAACCCTATGTGTTCATGGAGGCACTCCAGCTACAATCCACAGGAAATCCCAATTTAGATTACTTGGAATCAGTACTATAAAATTATGCAGTTTGTGAATATATTCTTGGTGTTTCACAGTTGACAACACTATATTCCCTTGAGTACCAAACTCACAGAAACCCCATGGAATGATCTCTCTCTCCAAGTACAGTTTTTCTAGAATCAGTATGAGGTGTGAGACTAATCAGACAAGGGCTTTAGCAAATGTGCATTTTTAAAATAAACAGCCTAGAAAAATTATGGCAGTTCTTTTATGGCCCAGAATAACATGTTTTTACTTATCAGCTGCTTAAGAGAGAAATGAATTGATACAAAAATTATTTCAGTTCACCTTTCACTGACTACTATTGCTCTGATAGTTCCAGAAAGAGCAGTGAAGGTTTTTATTTTCCTTAAGAGGTAGTAGGGGCTTCTGATGGCATGGTAGAACATTCTTATTTACAGACAAAGGCTGCGGATAAGTGGAATGGCTGCCTCATAGTTATAGATGAGTAGTGCTCCTGGTATTCTGCCATGCAGCATTACCTTAAAAATGAATATGAACTTATACAGATTTCCATTCTTTTTTTCCTCCAGTCTTCCACCCTTTTTGTAGGCCATCTACGATGCATTCATACACATAAAAGTAGTCTTATACTCCAACCAAAACACTTCCTTCCTCTCAATCAAATCTTATCTTTAGGCTAGTCTCTCAGGGATCATCCATAAATAGCAGAGACAGAATGTTACCCAATATCCAGCAGGATTCACCCAAATGTGAAAAAGATGAATATAACTTGTATTGTCTTCTGCCATCAAGGTCACCACTGCCAAAAAGCTTTCCTGGACAACTATGTTCTGGGCCCCATTTCTCTCACTCGTTTGTAGCAGTACAATGGTTTTAAGAGCTACCAATTTCCATTCAATGACACATGGTAACTTCCAGTCCAAATACAGAATATTTTTGGAATTGCAGGCTATTTAAGGCAAATCTTATTAATCTAAATGAAGTAGAGTTTACATATTTACTATTAATTTTCCATTTTTCACTTACTTCTCCATATAACTTTACAGCCCATGAAGAGGAGTCTTAAAACCAACATACCTAATTTCTTTCTTTACTTCAAGAAAAATATGAACTAAAAATAGAAAACCTTACTGAGAGGAGGCAGACAGTTCAGCCTACTTGGATTATCCTTAGAGGAGCTATTACATTATTTACTTCTTTCATAGGATATGAACAGAGAAAGTGGACAACTTTCTAGTTCACTTAGGTGAGGGAGGTTGTTTTACTTCTTTTATGTTTTTTCCTCCCCTGAGATCTATTTTCATAGTGTGGTTTTAACTGTTACTAATCAAATACAAAAACAAAAACTTGGGGATTTGAGGGGATCTTGGATTATCTGTGCCTCTCCTCCCTTTATTAACATAGATCACAGAGAACAGACTGAGCTGCAAAACCAAAACTGTCTCTAGAAGCAAACATTGTCTCAGTTTCCTTACCTGTGAATAGCTAATGTGATATCCTTAGGGCCAATTACTTTTAATGATTTAATTACATTTATGGTTTTAAACTACTTTCCACCTAAACCACATGCTCATAAAATAACAATTAAAATATTTAATATTAAACACAGTGGGAGTCCTGGTTTCCGATTTTTGCTGTAAAGTCTACAGTTATTTGAAGATACATTTACCAAGTTGAAACTTGCAATCATGTAGATGCCTGCTGAGATTTCACACATGAGCTGAGATCAACTGTTAAAAAAAGTCTTCATGAAGAAGTATTTTTATTTTCCTCATTATTATTATTTTTTTGGTGTTGCTACTTTGCTCTGAACATTCATATTTTACAATACTATGTGAGGTGGAACGTGTTTTACCTGGATTCCTTGGAATCCGCTTTCGTCGGTCTCTGAATGCTGCACCTGATTGTAAGGCTTCCAGAAGATTATCCATCACACCAGTCTCATCACCCTCTGGTGAAAGGGAGAAATCAGAATTAATCTTGGAGCAATTAAAGTTAAACTACAGGAAAATAAAGGGAAAAACTCCTGTCAGATTTACATAATATCCCTAAATTAAAGACATATATCTGTTTTAACATAATGGATCCTGTCAGTTTCTGGCACCACAGACTACTTTGCTTATTATGCACCATTAAGCAAAATTCATGCCAATCCCACTGTTCTTTCAACTTAAAGACCTTGTCTTTTGTATTATTGATGACACGCTCAGTATGCAAATAAACAGTAGCTGATCAGCTACTGCTGCCTTCCTGTTAAGATTCTTATAAGATATTCCTAAGCAAGAAACCACTGACCCAGCTTAATGCAATCAATGTGCAGGGCGTGATTTGATGAAGCGGAGTTACACAAGGTTAAATACTGATTGTATTAATACTTTCGGCATTCAACCGTCATCTGCGATTATCTTAGAAAACACTATTTGCAAAACACATTTGCATTCAATTCTTACCTAATCCATATCCTTTACCATTTTGAGATGCTGACACCGTATAAAGAAAAGGTGACCACATTATCTGAAAGGCCACATTTTAACTTTTAGAGACATCAGCCAGAGTCCCACTTCCTTTTTAGAATGCTGTTGTGTGTCTATACTTTTCCTGTGGGAAAGAACTGTTAAGGAGCCATGAGTGGGATGCTCAGAAGATGTTTGTGGAAATTCCTAACAGAAACAGCATTTAAAACATTTTACCCTCCTATCTTTGACAACTCTGGCCATGAAAAACACCTCTAAGATTTGTTAGAGTTTATCTCAAGGTGTCAATGGCCAGAAAGCCTCTACTACACTGTGCATAATTCCCAGTGAGCTCAGCCTGCTCTTCCTAACTGGCCTAGCTGATGAAAAGGACCCCAAATAGGTGGCTACCTTGAGGGTAGCTAAATGTGTGAGTCTGAGGTAGATGACAATTTGCAGGCAAGAGGGTTAAGAGAAGAAGGAGGGAAGAGGGAAAGGACATTATTTCTGATGCTACTCCAAAGTTAAATCTAAATCCTACTTTGTTTAAAAAATTAACCATGCGGTATGAGATCACAAATGAAAATACATTTTATTTTATTTTAGTTTAGTTTGAGACAGAGTTTTGCTCTTGTTGCCCAAGCTGGAGTGCATTGGTGCGATCTCGGCTCACCACAACCTCTGCGTCTGGGGTTCAAGCGATTCTCCCGCCTCAGCCTCCCGAGTAGCTGGGATTATAGGCATGCGCCACCACACCTGGCTAGATTTTGTATTTTTAGTAGAGATGGGGTTTCTCCATGTTGATCAGGCCTTGGTCTTGAACTCCTGACTTCAGGTGATCCACCCGCCTCGGTCTCCCAAAATACCAGGATTACAGGCGTGAGCCACCGCACCCAGCTGAAAATACATTTTCTTATGGGATAACAGCAAGCTAAAATCTTTTTTGATTATGTTCTGCATTTGATTTGAGACTTCTTCAATGTTGTAATCATTTATTCTTTTAAAATAAACTCTCTAGGACGGGGTATTGAATGAAAAAAAAATGAAGAGAAACACTGAGGTTCTCAGGACTAATATTTGGTGAAAACAGGAAAAATGAAGTACAGCCCATTGAGTAAACATGGAAGGGGGATAGTGTACTTGTAGCATTCATTAAGAGGTGGCGCATGGTGGCTCTTGCCTGTAATCCTAGCACTTTGGGAGGCCGAGGTGGGTGGCTCACTTGAGGTCAGGGGTTCAAGATCAGCCTGACCAACATGGTGAAACCCAGACTCTACTAAAAATATAAAAATTAGCCAGGCATGGTGGTGGGTGCCTGTAGTCCCAGCCACTCGGGAGGCTGAGGCAGGAGAATCATTTGAACTTGAACCTGGGAGGCAGAGGTTACAGTGAGCCAAGATTGTACCGCTGCACTCCAGCCTGGGCAACAGAGTGAGATTCCATCTTCAAAAAAAAAAAAAAAATCATTAAGGTCACAGACACATCTGAAGTATCACCTGTTCTTTTCAATAGAAAAAAAAAGAAGACCTGAAGGTAGTTTGGTATGGCTAGAATGTACCTGGGAGAATTAAATCATATGCAGTAGACACTTTACAGTTGTTAGATATTTTAATCCTCACAACACACTGTGATAAGTACTGTATGTTTTTCAACTGTGGTGGAGAGGCCCAGGTATGAACTCAGATCAGTCTGATACCAAGCCCAGTTCTCTTTGCTCAATAGCTGGCAGAAGTTGAAATGAACTAGGCATTAGTGGCCAGATGATGAAAGATGAAAATTCTACGATATGGGGCTTGAACACTATTCTATAAGCCGGCAGTATTCACTAGGTATAAAATACAGGCCATAAATGTGAACCACATAAATAATGCTAAATATTCTAGTAGTAACACTAAAAAAAAAAAAAAAAAAAAAAAAGGTAAAATTGATATTTTTTTTCTTTTTGAGCCAGAGTCTCGCTCTGTTGCCCAGGCTGGAGTGCAGCGGCGCGATCTCCGCTCACTACAACCTCCGCCTCCTGGGTTCAAGCAATTCTCCTGCCTCAGCCTCCCAAGTAGCTAGGATTACAGGTGCCCGCCACCACGCCCAGCTAATTTTTGTATTTTTAGTAGAGACAGGGTCTTACCATGTTGGCCAGGCTGGTCTCGAACTCCTGACCTCAGGTGATCTGCCTGCCTCAGCCTCCCAAAGTACTGGGATTTCAGGTGTGAGCTACCTCGCCTGGCCAAATTAATTTTTAATACATTAAGTAAACATTCAGCCAAATGTATTTTCAAAATGATGTATTTTATATTCTTCTTATCAGATTAACTCTTAGAAATCTAGTACATATTTACTTCTGCACATGTCAATTCAGATTAGTTACATTTCAGGCACACAATGGCCACATGCAGATGGTGGCTACTGTACTGGGCATATCAACTATAAACAATAGGAAGTGACCTGATCAGATTTACTCTTTAGAAAGACTTGTTGGACAGCATTGTGGAGTATGACTCAGAGGATGGCAAGACAAAAGGCAGGAAAATTTTGGCCGGGCACAGTGGCTTACACCTGTAATCCCAGCACTTTGGGAGGCTGAAGCGGGAGAATCACTTGAGGTCAGGAGTTCAAGACCAGCCTGACCAACGTGGTGAAACCCCCGTCCCTACTAAAAATAAAGAAAAAATTAGCCAGGCATGGTGGCAGGCGCCTGTAATCCCAGCTACTTGGGAGGTTGAGACAGGAGAATCGCTTGAACCTGGGAGGCGGAGGTTGCGGTGAGCTGAGATCACGCCACTGCACTCCATCCAGCCTGGGTGACAGAGCGAGACTCCATCTCAAAAAAAAAAAAAAAAAAAAAAAAAAGGCAGGGAAATTTTTAATTGCATAGTGTAATTGTCTAAATAACACATAGCCTGAACTAACCAGAGAGCAAAGTGAATGGAGGGGATGGATATTTTGAAGGCATTAATACAGTCAATAGGACTTAGCTGGCAGGAGAAGGAGGGTGAGATTAAGGAGAGGAGTTTAGATGACCAGGGATAAACAAGTACGAGAAAATGTGATCTATTTGATATGTCTAAGGAATATACAAGTAGAAATAACGAAAAAGAAGTTGGAAATGTGGGTCTGAAATGCAAGAGTGAACTCTGGGCTGGAGTTAAAGATTTGGGTGTCACTGGATGGTGGATGAGATTACCTACCCTGAAAAAGTATATTAGAAGAAGGAGAGAATAGAAGACGCAATTCCAGAGAACCTCAACTTTTAAAAAAATATTTAAGAATTTTTAATTGACAAGTAAAAATTTTATACATACACACACACCCAGTATATGATGTGGTTTCTTTTTTTCTTTTTTCTTTTTTTTTTTTTTTTGAGACAGAGTCTCCCTCTATTGCTGAGGTTGGAGCACAGTGGTATAATCGAGACTCACTACAACCTCCACCTCCCGAGTTCAAGCGATTCTCCTGCCTCAGCCTCCCAAGTAGCTGGGATTACAAGTGTGCACCACCATGCCCAGCTAATTTTTTTTTGTATTTTTAGTGGAAACAAGGTTTCACTATGTTGGCCAGGCTGGTCTCAAACTCCTGACCTCAAGTGATCAGCCAACCTCGGCCTCCCAAAGTGCTGGGATTATAGGCGTGAGCCACTGTACCCCCACTATGATGTTTTAATATACATACACATTGTGGAATGACTAAATCAAGCTATTTAACATATGTCACCAGTTTTTGGTAGTCAGATCACTTAAAATCTCTGAGCAATTTTTGAATACACAATATATTATTATTAACTACAGTTACCATGATGTACAATAGATCTCTTGAGCTTATTCCTCTTATCCAACTGAAATTTTGTGTCTTTTGACTAATGTCTTCCTAATCCCCTCCCCAGAATCAGAGAAACCCAACTTTTAACAGGCAGTCAGGAGAAGCAGAATTGCAAAGAAGACAGGGAAGGAATTTTTAGAGATATATAAGTACAAGAAGGCGAGGACAGCACAAGTGAAATTTTATGTATCCTTACAAAAATGATAATTATAAAGACTATGTAGAAAAGCAAATATATGCAAATTACTGAAAAAAAAATTTATGATTTACCTAAATAATATGCAGACATAAAAAATGTATAACATTATATTGTTTTATTAAAATTATTTAATGCTATTATATTGTAATTAGATAAAAAGATGGAAAAACAAATATGACAAGAAGTTGAGAGGAGGCTGGGCACAGTGGCTCACGCCTGTAATCCCAGCACTTTGGGAGGCTGAGGTGGGAGGATCACTTGAGCTCAGGAGTTCAAGACTGGCCTGAACAACATGGTGAAACCCCATCTTTACAAAAAATACACATACAAAATAAATAAATAAATAGTTGGGTGTGGTGGCATGTGCATTGTATAGTCCCAGCTACTCAGGAGGCTGGGGTGGGATGGTCACTTGAGCCTGGGAGGTTGGGGCTGCAGTGAGCCATGAGCGTGTCACTGCACTCCAGTCTGGGTGACAGAGTGAGA